TACTTCTATAAAGGGAAACTTCTTTTAATCTGCTCTTTGGTTAAATTTAGGCACTTAAGTGGTCACCTTGGTTCTACAGGTTTAGTTCTGAACCTGCAGTTTGGTTTAAGGTGCTAACTGGTAGGTTCTGTGATACGTGTTTAATGAGTATTTGTTATTAATATTGTCATGGCCTTTGTTGTCATTGTCATCCTTGTCACTGTCTGTCTGATAACATCCGCACAGGGTGCCGGGATAGGTGCGCAACAGATCTGGATGAAGGCATAGCTCTGGCTCCCTGAGGCTCTGCAGGGATGTCAGCCACAAAATCAAACTCATTAAAACCCACGCACTCGCCTGCAGCCCCACTCCTGCTAATTAATTTACTTATAGCCAGGGAAAGGGAGGTGGCGCACCACGGGGAAATCTGCCCACGTATGTGAAATCAGAGGTTACCAAGGAGGCATCTCAAGGTAGATTATTTTAAGCAGCTGGCAGAACATCTGAGGAAAATGCAATAAGAAACAATACGCTAAGGAGATCTGAAGGCCAAAGACCCACAACCAGGAAAGCCTTGGGGATGGGGAGTAGGGTTGAGGAACTGCTGTGAGGAGTTTTTCTCTCAAAGTGGAAGGAGTGAGAATAAGGAAAATGTGTGTGAGGTGTTGACAGCCTTTGTCTGTGTCCATGTACTGGCTGATTTCCGAGCACGCTCATGTCCTCCTAGATCTGGGTACTGCCACCAGGGGAATAAGCTGTGACCACAAAGCTGGAACTGAATGTTAGGACAGAAAGCCTTCCCGTAGGGGAGGTGGCAGTTGTAGTAATACTGATAACAGCACTAACAGGACGCCAACACCAAACCAGTTGCTGTCAAGTCAGTGCCAACTCCTGGTGACCCCATGTGTGCCAAAGTAGAACTGTGTTTCATAGCGTTTTCAGTGGCTGCTTCTTCAGAAGTAAATCCCCTGGCTTTTCTTCTGAGACAGCGCTGGGTGTACCGAGCCAAGAACCTTTGGTAAGTAGCCAAGCATGGTCACCA